ACTGATGCTGCATCCACCTAGGTAAGTATGTTTTTAAAATAAAAACAAATCCCATACTTCTCTTTTAAGGCTTTTGTGCCCGGAGTTCACCTTTAAAAAATAGTTATACAGAAATATATTTTTTATTTAGAGCTATTCATGTCCTGTACTGCTGTAGGTGCTGATTTCCAGCATTCTTTGAATGACCTCTAGAGCAGTGGTCTCCAAACTATGGCCCTGCGGCTGGATGTGGCCCTTTGCCTGCTTTTAACTGGTCCTTGGGCCCTTATTTCCCCCACTGTCAGCAACAGTGGGGCATAGTTCCTGCCTCTGACACTGACAACGGAGCCCTATTTCTCCCACTCACACCAAAGATGGGGCACTATTCCTCCCACTGACACCAATGATGCGGCACTATTCCTCCCACTGACACCAATGATGCGGCACTATTCCTCCCACTGACACCGGCACTATTCCTCCCACTGACACCAATAATGGGCACTATTTCTCCCACTGATACCAATGATGGGGCACTATTCCTCCCACTGACACCAATGATGGGGCACTATTCCTCCCACTGACACCAATTATGGGACACTATTCCTCCCACTGACACCAATGATGGGACACTATTCCTCCCACTGACACCAATTATGGGGCACTATTCCTACCACTGATACCAATGATGGAGGCACTACTATTCCTCCCACTAATACCAGTGATGGGGTACTATTCCTCCCACTGACACCAATGATGGGGCACTATTTCTCCCACTGACACAACATAATGGGGACATTCCTCCCACTGATACCAATGGTGGGATACTATTCCTCCCACTGACACCAATGATGGGGCACTATTCCTCCTACTGACACCAATGATGGGGCACTATTCCTCCCACTGACACCAATTTCACTATTCCTCCCACTGACTCCAATGATGGGACACTATTCCTCCCACTGACACCAATGATGGGGCACTATTCCTCCCACTGACACCAATGATGGCGCACTATTCCTCCCACTGATACCAATGATGGGACACTATTCCTCCCACTGACACCAATGATGGGGGACTATTCCTCCCACTGACACCAATTATGGGACACTATTCCTCCCACTGACACCAATGATGGGACACTATTCCTCCCACTGACACCAATGATGGGACACTATTCCTCCCACTGACACCAATTATGGGGCACTATTCCTACCATGATACCAATGATGGAGCACTATTCCTCCCACTGATACCAAGTGATGGGGTACTATTCCTCCTCTGACACCAATGTTGGGGCACTATTTCTCCCACTGACACAAATAATGGGCACTATTCCTCCCACTGATACCAATGGTGGGATACTATTCCTCCCACTGACACCAATGATGGGGCACTATTCCTCCTACTGACACCAATGATGGGGCACTATTCCTCCCACTGACACCAATGATGGGACACTATTCCTCCCACTGACTCCAATGATGGGACACTATTCTTCCCACTGACACCAATGATGGGGCACTATTCCTCCCACTGACACCAATGATGGCGCACTATTCCTCCCACTGATACCAATGATGGGACACTATTCCTCCCACTGACACCAATGATGGGACACTATTCCTCCCACTGACACCAATTATGGGACACTATTCCTCCCACTGACACCAATGATGGGGCACTATTCCTCCCACTGACAGCAATGATGGGGCACTATTCCCCCCCAATACCATCTTCTGATCCCACTGGTCACAGTCCGACCCCTAAACTTTGAAGAACAGTGAACTGGCCCTTTGTTTAGAAGTGTGGAGACCTGTGCTCTAGAGAGATGCAATCCTACTCCGTAGGGCAGACCTTCAGCGCTGATAGCATAGTGTGGCCTTTTATTGATTTCCACTTGTGAGATTCCCCCAGGTATAACAGGCCCTTTGTGTGCTGGGCCCCTGATGTGCATACACCTGGCCGTAACACAGTGCCTACACTCTGCTGAAGTGCCAGACTGGTTAAAGCTTTAAACCAAATAAATCAATTTACTGCCGGCCTCTTACCACCCACACTGCATTCAATGACGGCTATGTGTTGAAAGCCCGGGCAGGGCGTGTTGTTTTTGTTCTTTCTCCGTGTTAAATTGTGCACGGCGTCTGCCTGTTATAAGCAACAACGGCATTTTTTCACTGTATTAACATTGCATACATTTAAAGCGTGGCTCCACCTTTCTGGGAGCATTTCATATTGTGAAGCAGGACGTGGAATAGAACAGCTTTGTAAATGGCGTTTGTTAGCCAGCTTGTTTCATTGTAGGGCTTGTAGGGATCGTTCACGCCAGGTGCGCTGAGCTACGATCGATCAGCCAGATCAATGTAAGGACATTGAGTGAATCGCCGTTATGTGCATGCATCACATATAAATGCAGAATGTTGCAGCACATTGGGGGTGATTTACTAAAGGTAAATAGACTGTGCACTATGCAAGGGCAATCGCTCAAGAGTTTAGTAAATTAGGTGAAGCTTAACTTTGCAAAGAATACCCAATCACATGCAAGGAGGAAAAAACTGACCCCGGGCCTTCGGGCAGTGCAGGAGTGTCCAAATGGTCAGTCCGCCCCTGAGCAGAGGTATTAGGTACATGAGAATAAAATGTCCTCTTAATGATTGTACAATGTCAAAACATGCAAATGTCCAGAGAAATTTTGCATTAGGGCAAGCTGTTGCAGGCCAGGGGTGGACTGACAACTCATGGGGCCCCCGGGCAATAGGGGATCATGGGGCCCCTGTGTCCTTGCCCAAACTCAAAAAAGCCTATGAAAAAGGTACCAGGGGCATCTCATGGGGTCAGTCCGCCCCTGTTGCAGGCTCTTGAGTATTTTATTTATTTATTACAGGTACTTATATAGCGCTGTCAATTTACGCAGCGCTTTACATATATATTGCACATTCACATCAGTCCCTAACCCTCAAGGGGTGTACAATCTAAGGTCCCTAACTTACATTCATACATACACATACTAGGGCCAATTTAGACAGGATACAATTAACCTACCAGCATGTCTTTGGAGTGTGAGAGGAAACCGGAGTGCCCAGAGGAAACCCACGAAGGTACAGGAAGAACATGCAAACTCCAGGCATGCATTTGGGGTGTCATTAAAGTGTTACTAAACCCACAACAGTAAAATCAGTCTGTATAACCTGTGGAAGGGGTTAATCCTCTGCATTGTGTAAAAAGACAGTTTGATCCTGACTTCTCTGCCCCTCCTTTTGTTCAAATGTCCATGTCTTATCTCCTGATAAGACAAACTGAACCCAAAGCCACATGCTCAGTTTGGTGTTTTTTTTCTTGGGAGAGTGCTGGAGGAAACCTGTGTACCTGGACGAAACCCACGCAGGCACAGGGAGAACATGCAAACTCCAGGCAGGTGGTGCCGTGGTTGGGATTTGAACTAACGACCCTAGTACTGCCAGGTGGAAGTGCTAACCATTTAGCCACTGTGCTGCCCAGTAATAACAGAAGAAGGAAGAAAAGCGCCTTTAAGTGCAATATTAAATTTTAACGAGAATCAAAAGCAAGGCCATTCACATGTTAAAGGTAACAAACAGTCTCATCCAGGGGTGGACTGACAGCTCATGGGGCCCCCGGGCAATAGGGGATCATGGGGCCCCTGTGTCCTTGCCCAAACTCAAAAAAGCCTATGAAAAAGATACCAGGGGCATCTCATAGGGCCCCCTACAGGACCCTGGGTCCTCGGGCAGTGCCCGAGTTTCCAAATGGTCAGTCCGCCCCTGGGCTCATCTTCATATTGTGAAGCCAAGAAGTCCAGGACAAAGTAAGGAATGCCAGATGATGCTGCTAATGGCACAGGAGGAGGACGGAGGAAGATGGAGGCCGGTCACTCTCTGTGAATCCACGGGTCCGTGGAGCGCAATGTGGAGCTCAACATCGGCATGATGACATCAACATAGCAGAGCAGCGGCTCAGCCCCGCCCCCTCTCTCCTCATTGGCTCACTGGCTGTGATTGACAGCAGCGGGAGCCAATCCCTTGCAGTGCAGGTGTAGCCCCACTGCATGAGATCATGTTTAATTTGCCTTTAGTTAGGCTTTAACTACTGATTGCTCCGCATTGGTGCTTTGAATTCATAAAAAAGTGATTTATTGTTTCAGCACTTGCTGCAAATTGTATTTCATATGAGCTTTGTTTAGATCGGTTTATTCAAAGTCAGTACTGCTGTTGGCTACCTGCTCCGTCCTACAGAAGCGGAGTTGTGCTTTAGTTGGTGGACTACTGGATGTCATCATCTTTCAGTGTATGAGGGGCCCTCCGCTCAGTGTGCAGTGATAAATGAAAAGCATTACTATGTGAGCATGTTCCATCGCCAGCAGATTAAGTATCACCGCTCCTCCAACAAACACAAGTGTTCCATTAATGGTTTTCTCATGGGCTTAATACTGCGCTGCCCTCTGATATTTTCCAAGGTGACCACGGCTTCCCTTAAGAAGTCTTTATAGTGACCGCTCTCTTTGCTCCCCATTGAAAATCTGTGGAATGACTTGAAGAATGCAGTCCACAAATGGTTACCATTAACTGAACTTGAGCAGCTCTGCGGAGAAGAATGGGCAAATATTGCAAAGAGTAGATGTGCAAAGTTAGTAGAGACATATCCCAACAGACTAAAGGCTGGAATTAAAGCAAAAGGGGGTTCATCAAAATACTGACACGGGGGGGGGGGGGGGGGGGTCCTATTTCCAACTCAGTGGCTCTGTTTTGTTTTGTTTTTTTTTGTTTTTTTCTGACATGTTGGTGTCAGGGGCGGACTGACCATTTGGAAACCCGGTCATGAAGGAGGTAAAACCTTCCGGAGCTGCAATGGTTAAAGTTAATCCACTTCTCCTCCAGCTTCGCTGGGTGGTCACATGTCTTTTTGAGCGACCTGAGACCAGGGGCAGACTGACCATTTGGAAACTCAGGCACTGCCTGAGGGCCCGGGGTCAGTAGGGGGCCCCATGTGATGCCCCTGGTACCTTTTTCATAGGCTTTTTTGAGTTTGGGTAAGGACACAGGGGCCCCATGATCCCCTATTGCCCGGGGGCCCCATGAGTTGTCAGTCCGCCCCTGGTTGGTGTTTTATCTTTCATTTGGATTTTGTAAATACAGCTGGATAAAACAAAAAATGTGTCTGTCTTCATTTTAGGCTGCAAAGCAACAAATTGTGATTATTTTGAGGGGGGGGGGGTGATTCTTTTCTCTACCCACTGTAAATGCAGGGTTGACAGTGCCAGCGTGAATGAGGCCTTAGGCCTCCTTCATATGGACATACTTAAAGGGGACCTTCTGTCTCGCAGTCAACATTGATTATTTTAATCCTTATGCTGCTAGCATTGGTATAAAAATAGGAAGTTATAATATATTTGCTTGTTTTAAACTTTTTTCTTACATTTCTTCAGTTCCTGGTTTCTAGGCCTAGGCAAATGATGCCATACATCTCAGGAGTCTTCAGGAGAGGCGAAGGGGTTTTCTCAGCTAAGCATACCCTCATGCCTGCATGCCTGAACTAAGGGCAGATGGACTCTAGGAAGTAAATGCTACATGAATCATCTGCCCTTACTCAAGATGGCAGTGTTTTTTAAAGTGATTTCTGTATGAAGACATAGATGAATAGGTGCATTTGCTTTGAATGTTAAAAATATATTAAATAGTGTTTTTGATTTGTGGTTCTCAGATGCAGTGTAGTTCTGCTTTAAGCGTACTCCCATGCGGGGGCCTTATTTGCCCTCATGGGGACATGCAGGTGTTCTGTACATCCCCATGCAGGCAGCCCCATTCATGTCAGTTGGGATGCTGCAGCCGCACAGACAGGGCTGCTGTTCCCAGTCTGACATTGGTGCAGATGCGGGTTCCCGAACACCCACTGTCTGCATTCAGGGACCCCCACCCTGTCAAACTGCGGCTGTGTTCCAATTGACATGAATGAGACTGCCTGCATGGGGATGCACACAACACCTGCGTATCCCATGCGGGCAAAACACGGTCCTCACACACAAGTGTACACCTAAGTACAGCCATGTGATGGAGGCCTAACTGTCAGTACTCCCCCACCCCCAGTACATACTGTCATGCCTGGCTCTGGCTCTCTTCCTACTTCCAGTGTCTGTCTCTTTGCTCATCATCTGACATCTTGTCACAATATTGACTCCTCAGGATATTGGAAGTCTGTTTGCTCACCTGTTGTGTGAACGTCAAACCTCATCACCGCCACGTCTGCCCGTTCTTCTGGTCATGCTCTGTCATTGTGGTGCCACTTAACAATTCAGAGACTGAAGGATTGATTGATCTGCACTGTTATCTGCTGTCTAGGCCATGGAGGAATGTCTAAAAAGTGTTATCAGATGACATAAAGTGAGCCTGTCAGGTTATAACAAAAAGGCACCTGCTCTTTGGGGGTCTTGGCGTCCCCTACTACCTCTTCGTTGTAAGCACTGCACCCCGCCACCAATCTCTTTTATTACTTACAGTATAGTTGGATGCCTGTGTCCCCTGCCACACACTGTGGTTCCATCCTCTGATCCTACGTCACTGCTGGGTGCTGTAGTGATGTTGGGGCCAAAGAAGAGAACCAGGGTGCTTTGGCAAGGGGGGCACCAATCTTCCATCGCACCTTCCCTGGCCAGTCAGGGTTGTCTTAATGAATGGGAACCCCTAGGCACTGCCCAGGGATCCCAGATGTATTGGGTGTCCAAGGATAATTTTGAATTTCATCATACTTGCCGCCTGTCCCGGATTTGCTGGGACAGCCATCCTTTTAACTAAGCTGTCCAGGGATGGCCATGTCCCGGGATCTGTACTGTGCCCTCCTGATCCAAGTATTGTGCCCTCCTGATCCCCCTCCCCTTCTTGTATTGTGCCCTTCTGCCTCCTCCCTGTACTGTGCCCTTCTGCCTGTTCCTGTACTGTGTCCTTCTGCCTCCTCCCTGTACTGTGCCCTTCTGCCTGTTCTCTGTACTGTGCCTTCTGCCTCCTCCCTGTACTGTGCCCTTCTGCTCCTTCCTGAACTGCACCCTTCTGCCTCCTCCCTGTACTGTGCCCTTCTGCTCCTTCCTGTACTGTGCCCTTCTGCCTCCTCCCTGTACTGTGCCCTTCTGCCCTTCTGCTCCTTCCTGTACTGTGCCCTTCTGCCTCCTCCCTGTACTGTGCCCTTCTGCCTCTGTACTCCCTGTACTGCGCCCTTCTGCCTCCTCCCTGTACTGTGCCCTTCTGCCTCCTCCCTGTACTGTGCCCTTCTGCCTCCTCCCTGTACTGCGCCCTTCTGCCTCTTCTCTGTACTGTGCCTTCTGCCCCTTCTGTACTGTGCCCTTCTCCTCCCTGTACTGTGCCCTTCTGCCTCCTCCCTGTACTGTGCCCTTCTGCCTCCTCCCTGTACTGTGCCCTTCTGCCTCCTCCCTGTACTGTGCCCTTCTGCCTCCTCCCTGTACTGTGCCCTTCTGCCTCCTCCCTGTACTGTGCCCTTCTGCCTCCTCCCTGTACTGTGCCCTTCTGCCTCCTCCCTGTACTGTGCCCTTCTGCCTCCTCCCTGTACTGTGCCCTTCTGCCTCCTCCCTGTACTGTGCCCTTTCTGCCTCCTCCCTGTACTGTGCCCTTCTGCCTCCTCCCTGTACTGTGCCCTTCTGCCTCCTCCCTGTACTGTGCCCTTCTGCCTCCTCCTCCTTGTACTGTGCCCTTCTGCCTCCTCCCTGTACTGTGCCCTTCTGCCTCCTCCCTGTACTGTGCCCTTCTGCCTCCTCTTGTACTGTGTACTGTGCCCTTCTGCCTCCTCCCTGTACTGTGCCCTTCTGCCTCCTCCTTGTACTGTGCCCTTCTGCCTCCTCCTTGTACTGTGCCCTTCTGCCTCCCCTGTACTGTGCCCTTCTGCCTCCTCCTTTGTACTGTGCCCTTCTGCCTCCTCCTTGTACTGTGCCCTTCTGCCTCCTCCTTGTACTGTGCCCTTCTGCCTCCTCCTTGTACTGTGCCCTTCTGCCTCCTCCCTGTACTGTGCCCTTCTGCCTCCTCCTTGTACTGTGCCCCCTTCTGCCTCCTCCTTGTACTGTGCCCTTCTGCCTCCTCCCTGTACTGTGCCCTTCTGCCTCCTCCCTGTACTGTGCCCTTCAGTAAATCCTCTGGAGGGCAAGTGGTTAAAACTTAATAAACACAAAAATGATTGGAACATCGCTTTAAGCAGCAAAAGTGTCCTTGTAGGGTTGTAGGTGAAAGAAGTTGGCAGCTCGATCTTTTGCTATACATTAGTTTAGTAATCCAGGTGTGGTACAAAATAATATTTGGTGTGAACCAAGCCTTACCCTAGGTTCACACCTAAGCATTTTCTGCAGCGTTTTGTGTTTTATAGAAATGCAGGAAAGTCCATTTAACATGATTTCCTATGGGACACATTCACATCTCGTGTTTTCACCTGGTGCGTTTTTTGGAAAAAACACAAAAAGTTGCGTTTTTTTGTTTCTATAGACTTTAATGGAAACGCTGCAGAAAAGCATGTATTGAGTTTTTGCTGCTTCTTTGATGCATTTTTTTTTATGTGTTTTGCGTTTTAAATCTGCCTAGCAACAATAAAAATGTAAAAAATGAAAATAAAAAAAACGCAAAACGCATCAAAAACGCAAATGCAAAAATGCAAAACACAACTCAAAATGCAATACAGAAATGGCTCAAATGAAACCTGCATAGGTGTGAACCTAGACTTAGGAGATAAAACAGATCCATTAGGCTGCTCTCACACTGATATGTTTGTGCTGCATTTTTAGCGTGCTAAAAAACACAACAAAAAATGCAATCCCTTTAAATTCTATGGGACTCTTCACACCACTGTGTTTTGGCTGCAGTGCATTTTAAAAAGTCCTGTTTGCTGCCTCTTTGGTGTAGTAGTCAGATCCACACCAAAAACACAGACACCCATTAAAATGAATAGAAGACGTGGCAAAAATGCACTAAAAACGTACCTGTGTTGCTTTTTTAGTGCGTTTTTAGAGTCACATTTCCAAGTTTCACAGGTGCATGCTGGTTATTAGGCACCCAAAAAACATACCAGAAACACGGCAAAAACACATATGCATTTTCACCAGGTTTTTGCGGTGGAACATTGTGAAAGCGCCTTTTATGTAGTTCAGCGTGTATTTAGCTGTTTGGAGTTTAGCTTGAAGTCGCCCAAAATAAAATAATCTCTGACAATGGTCAGATACAGCTTTGTTTTTCTCAGATATAATCACATTTGTAGTTGGGGGTCATTCTTGTTTTACTTTCCCATAAATCTGATACAAATTCCGAGCTCATTGATCACCAAGTGACAGTGGAATGGCTTGTCTGCATGTTTGCGTTATGTACAGAAACAGGATCTGCCTTATTGATCGATCGCCTGAGATAATGGTAAGTTTCAGCTGTAAACAGCATCCATCACATTATGATAACATGGAGAACATTCATCTGAACCTAGGGGGGTCATTATTCTTCTGTCGGGTATCTCACAGACAAGGGAGGGCACACAACAATGAAATATGACTTGGTTTCTTCCATAAAAAATGTTTCCATCTTTCTCAACGTTCCACTTTTCATTCGTATTTTAATACTATTATGGAGCTTTGTTGTAGGTAGGTACAGATGGACACCAGGAACACCACCATGACCAGGGTCAATGCAAGGACCGCAGTGCTAATGCAGAGAGATGCTACAGTCTGTGTTCTCTTCATAGCATGACAATGGTAACACAATGGGGCTGCTTTACTACAGGCAGATAGACTGAGCATTTTGCAAGTGCAGTTGCTCCAGTGCTTAGTAAATGAGGGGAAGCTCTGCTGACTTCCACCACCCAATCATGTGCAAGCAAAAATTATGTTTTTATTTTTTTTATCTTCCTTGCATTTGATTGGATATTCTTTCTAAAGTTAAGCTTTACCTTATTTACTAAGCTCTGGAGCAACTGCACCTGCAACGTGCAACTGCATTTGCAAAGTGCACAGTCTATTTTCCTTCAGTAAATAAACCCTAAGGCTTGGTTCACATCTGTGCGGGTAGTGCCGCTGCGGGACCCACACAAATACCTGCAGCCACACCACCCTCACAGAGGAATGCGGGAC